GTCTGACTCACCCACGGTTCCGGAATCATTGTTGGGTTTGTATTTTGTCTCATTTTTTTGCCAGCAAGTATTCAGGAAGTTTCCAGGTGATTCTAAATTCCATACAACACAGGGTGAATAGGGGGATACGGTATTGTCCGGCGCTGGTAGGGGAGCTGTGTGGCATTGTGTGCTGAGCTCCAGGAAACGCTAATGTGAGTGGAGGGTCCCCGTGGAGGTTTAAAAAAGAATGACTTTGTGCCCTGCCATTGAGCACATGTCCAGAGAAGGTTATGATGCAAGAGCAACTGGAGGAGACGGCTCATCAGTCACTTTTATTAAAATACCTCCAATATTTAAAAAGGAGTAACAGAGATAACTTATTCAAAGATGTTTATGCTGTCTCTTAATCTGTTTTTGATGGATAGCATAACTAATCTGAATCAAGGTCGCTAATATTTCCTTTGTTGAGTCTACAGATACTGCAATAATACACTATATCAAATAATTATTAGGGACAGAAAATAGGTGGCCCCTCACCAAGTTCATTTCTCAGATGGTTTTAAATGAGCTCTGACCCCCAAATATTTGAACAACTGCCTGGAGTCCATGACAAGAGGGGATACAGTTTTTCTTTAAGAGAGGAAAGATCCTTTTAAACACACTTGCTTCTTTTTTATTGAATCATGTCACAGTCACAAAAAGACTTTGACATCTGTCCAGATGTCTGTTCCTGAGAGCCACTTTTGTCATATAAATTCTCGTTCAGGTCAAAAAGTTGATAGACATTTTGAGATGGAGGAAATGAGGCTGTCATCCAAATGTTTTCTTTGTGTTCGGGACAAATATAGTCAGATTCTGTAGACCTATGGGCCTGAATCTTTAATTTAGAAACAAGGGGTTAATACTTGACAGTGGGAATAAATGCTATTTTTAAAGATAATAATGATAAAAAATATTTTTTTGATAGACATTTCCTAAAATATTTTTGTCAAACATTTTTTTTATATATTAAAAAATAAAAAACATTAAACATTATAAAAACTTCATAAAATATGCTAAATATATTATGATAAAATAATTATATATCAATTAAAAATGACAATTATTTTTAGTTAGATAATAAGTGACCACATTCCTGTAATCTATTGGTCATTTATCCATAACTACATATTTTCTAATATATATATATATATATATATAGAACAGGGTCAACTGTAGGATCACATGCATTCTTAACAGTTTTCTAATAGGATACATTTTAGTTTGCACTTGAACTAGAACTGCATAATGAAATACATGTTGTTTCTGAAACATTTGGGCATTTACTATTTTACAAAGCTTTTCCAGAACAACGAATCAGCTTGCCAAAAATTTCACACCTGCTTCATATGTCCCTTCTGAATATGCGATATGCAATATGCAGCATTACATCAAACTTAATTATGAAACTAGCGCCTGGAAAATACTAAAGACTCATAAAGTATTAACTGAAGCGTTCTGGTTTCATGCACTTGTTTATCAGCTCTTTAATATAGCTGAATGCAAAGGCAGGTCATTGCATCAAACTCAGGGTTGGCTGGCGTGTCTTTTAGTGTGTTTTTCCCATTAAGATTTTCATACATTTCTGCTCATTGTATTTCACTTCGCTTCTTCTTTAAGCACATGATTCCACTATTACACTCTGATGTTAATGTAAATACTGTTTAAACTGATCTAATTCCCTTAAACCGAATCAATAGCAATGATGGGCCACCATGGGGGACAATTCTGGCTCTCTGTAAGTTACACAACCTGAAAAACATTTTCAATACTCCTGTGAGAGCAGGCTTGTGGGATAGGATGCACTGTTTACCTGAATTATATATGCATAGGAAATAGCCACAGTATCAGTGCTGCTATAATAAGAAAATACTTTTTTGGAAGACAAATCTCACAACAATACAGTAGGCTTACATATAGTAGAAAAGATCGATTTCAATTTCATCCCTGTATCAGACCGTCCTCAGATGATCTTAAAGCAGCACTATGTAACTTTTGACGCTCTAGCGGTTAATAAACAGAACTGCACACATCCCGCGGAAGAACATTCCAACCGGAGCTACTTCTCTAAGTTTATGTCAATGGCGATTCACGCAGGTATGTGTTACTCCGCAGCGGTGACGACCCGACCAGGCTACAATAGTCCAAATATAAGTACTTATTATAAGTGTACCGTAGTGATTCGGAATAAGACAAAAACGCGGTTTGGAAGCTGAATTCATGATGTACTCGCTTATTACATACATTTGGCAAATCTTGAACACAGAAAAAGTTACATAGTGCTGCTTTAAATTGGTACAAAAATTGAGACAGGGGAACAAAGAGCAAATATTGCCATGTCAAAACAAAACATAACAAAGACCAGGGGAAAAGAAAATGATCTATTGCAGATGATATTTGGCAGGAAAATACCAGAATATCTCTGGAACGATTCTTCATTACCACAAGAGAACCCAAACCACTCTGGAGACGTAAAACAGTAAAGCTTGTTTGCTTTGCCACAATTCAATCCACCCGGGCTGGATTACTCCATTTTCTTCAATGAACTAGCCCTGCCTCCTGGTTTAAATCAAGGATAAGCAAATTAAGGGGCTTTGTCATTCTTTTTGAGAAGCCTGGAAAGGAAGATTAAAGAGACCTGGGCTTACACGGAGAGTCCCGACTCTCAGAAAGAAGGGGAAACAGATCAGCTGGAAATATTTATTCTCCGTTTGCTGAGCAGACCACCTATAGGACGTCCTCGTACTGAAGAAGACAGATTTCAAATCGGCTGAACAAGTCGGTGTGGAAGGGCCACGTGGCGATGCTTGTTGAGGATCTGTGTGGTGTTGTGCCAAAGCCTGTCCCTCATTTCTAAAGGAATAGCTCACCCAAAAATGAAAACTCTGTCACAGTGATCTTCAAGAAAAATTCTGAAAACTATCCTTGCCACTAGCTTGTGGCAAGCACTCAGAACTTGAAAATGCAAAATTTTCACACACTGAAAAAAATTTCACTCAGAAATTGCTAGTAAATAACACAAAATAATTACAAAGAAACGGCAAGTAATACATCGAATGAAACATGAGATTTTGAAGTAGAAATACTGTTATAGCATTTTCTTAAAAATGAACTCCAGTAATCATTTACAACTCTGAAAAATATTTTTTACAGTTCAGAAAACGACTGTTTTTCACAGTGTTGCTTTTTAACGTTATTTTATGTAATTGTTTTTTTACATGCGCTAGACTAGCTTCTTTGACTGTTGGGTCGTACCTCGCTACTTTTTGACACATCAAGTTAAAAGTTCCAGCAAAAAATGAGTGCAAATCCTGCCTTCTTTTCCAGTCACCAGCGCTGCGCCTCTGCAGATGGACCCTATATTTAAATGCAAAAATGTGTCTCTGTAAACAGACCCTAAAAGTATCACAAAAGTGGTCCAAGTGACTCGTGCACTATATTCTAAATCTTTCGAAGCAGACTGAAATTTTGTTATAGACTCAAATCAATACCCTTTGGTGGGCTGTTAATCGTTTCAACAAGGTTAAGACAGTGAGTTGAACACGAGAACCCGAAGATCTGATTGGCAAACAAATCATTCAGACTGGTTTTAAATGATTTGTTGAAAATATCTGACTCAAAAGAATGATTCGTTCAGGAATTGGAAATCACCACTTCTCTCAGGAATGCGGCAGGGAAAACTACGGTAAATCTCACTTTATAATGATCTAAACTTTGGTCTAAAGCTTCAGTCGTTGTGAAATACAGCACTCATATGTAGATTCATACGGGACATTTTATGGTGTTTTTTTTTTTCATTTTAGAGCTTGACAGTCCCAGTTCTCATTCATTTTCATTATATGGTCAAATTTGGACATGAGACCAGGATATGTGTCCCAAAGATAAAGAAAGTCATACAGGTTTGGAACGGTGAGTAAATGGTCACTCATATGTAGATTCATACGGGACATTTTATGGTGTTTTTTTTTCTTCATTTTAGAGCTTGACAGTCCCAGTTCTCATTCATTTTCATTATATCGTCAAATTTGGACATGAGACCAGGATATGTGTCCCAAAGATAAAGAAAGTCATACAGGTTTGTAACGGTGAGTAAATGGTGAAAGAATATTCATATTTGGGCGAACTGTTCCTTTAAGGTCAGGAATATCAGATCACGTCACTTTGAGCATCAGAGTAAAATATGAGAGTTTTGATGTTTTAATACATTGACTGAGGTGGTTAGAGGACTGAATAATATTACTGGTACCCGGGCTGTTGAGGTAAACTGTCAAAATATTTCACTTGGTAACCCCCAGGAAACCATGCAAGCAGAGAACAAACCTACAGCCGGGTTTTCTTATAAGGAGTCCCGCTTTGGCTCCTCCATTCACCATAAAGCAAACTCCTGGGAGATGTCAGGAGCCAAGTTGGGGCCTAAAGAATCCAAATAGATCTCAAACTAAAAGAATAGCAGCTTTACAGGTAAAACACTATTCCAGAGTCCTGCTGATGCCGTCTGGAAAATTAAAATGATCCATGTTGAGGGCCATTCATATGGAGAAAGCTCAAATATGCATAATTTTCCTGCCTTAAATGAGGGTTAGCCCGAGCTTCATTAAAATTCATAATTTTGTGGTTCTATACGGTTCCAGGTCATTGCTGACAGGACCGTATTTGACCCATGCTAGTACAGGCATTCCCTGCCATAATAATACAATTTCTCTTCAGACAGAAATCAAAATCACATGTAACATGTTCTGAGTATGAAAAACCAAAAAGAAAAGTTTTAAGAGATCAAGAGTGATATACAATGCTAAAACAATATCAAGCAAAACTTTCCTCCTTAAAGTATTCAAAATATTTTATGACAATCAACATTGTAATTTGTCATTTAATTATATTAAATTAATATAGCAATAGACAGAAGTACAAATGTTAAATTCAAATTTGCAAAAAATTTTGAAATTGGACAAGGAACCAGCTTTTATTGATTTGCTTGCAAATGTTTTTATTAACAATATGAACTTCTACGGACAGAATACACCAGTCTTAACCTTTTGTTCCTGTCAAAACTTTCTTTTTGGCACTTTCTTGTCTTTGTTCAGTATTTAATTAAGCCATTCTCTGTGTAGTCTGTAATACGCTTTTTTTTAAACTTTCTGATCTTATTGAGTAATAATATTAAATCATTTAAATTATAATTAAATTATAATTAAATACATTCCCCATCAAGAGGACAATATCTTTATATATAGGAGTTTTGTTCTTATGTGAACTCTCTGGTTAAGTCAAGTTTAAAAAATTAGTGTTCCACTAAAATAAATAAATAATTTACGTGTGTCCTGCTCCACACTCCACTGCACATTTGTGTGTTTAGAAATTATTCACATTAAAAACACAAACAGACTATTACAATGTCCGCTTGACAGCAGACCAAAAAATTAGAGACCCTTTAAGTTAGCTGAAGCAATACACCATATAGTTGAGGGACAAAATACATTTACTTACACATATTTGAGAATCAAAATATCAGATATTTTACAATCATTTAACAAGTTTATGAATATTTGAAAAATGAAATGCCACCAATACATCAATCATACATCACCATTGTGACTATTAAGTGTTTAGTGACAAGCTTGATGCTTTGCCATGGAAATAGGTAATACGTCCTAAAATATTGGTCACATTACAAAACTCAGAATATTCGGCTGCTAAGTGGAATAAAATGTTAATCTGGTATTCAGAGCGTCCTCAAGTCATCAAAGATCCACTCTGCTGTCATGTTAGCCATTTCCTCCCCTGCATCCAAGACGAATGCATGCCGGATGCCCCTCTCGCACAGACGAATGTCCCCTTCAGGGAAGTCTTTTCTGGTATCACGGTAATACTGCACAGGACACCAGTGGTCCGTGGCTCCATAGTAAAAAATAAGCTGACAGAGGAAAACAAAATCATCAGAACACCCAGAGCCGATTAACACATTAACATGATTTAGGTTTGTTCTCATACAGTATATGTGGGATTCACCACTATGACCATGTATCATAATGAGAGCAGAACTAAAACAATAAATACATCATAAGGCTTTTCTGTTTTTCTGACAGCCATTTTAACAAGAGCTAGTACCTGTATGTCACTGCTGGATAAGAACCTCATTTTTCATTTTAAAGGCACAATATGTGACGTTAGAATAGCATAAGTAGCAGCCCTCCCATTTGATTTACATAGGAACTTAGACCACCACTGGAGTTTGAAGTATCTTGCTCCTTCATATTCCTCAGCACACCTCAAGATGTCAGAAGTAACTAGAAGTAACTGACATTTGAAGATCTAAAACTCTTTTTTTCCTTTGTGAAAAAGAATTTAAACTAGAGCTGTCAATTAAAAGATGTAATCAAATGAATCACATTATGCACTAATTGCAAATAATTGCATAAATCAATTTATTGAGAAAAGCCCTAGCATAAAATAATTTGTTTAATTGATTGTTTTTTAATAATAATAAAAAATACAATGAAAAATAAAATAAATACAGTAAAAACTAAAATAAAAAAAAAAAACAGAAAACAAATACTTATCATTAATTATACTAATTAATGCAATTAACTGACAGCTCTAGTCAAAACCTTAGTCAAGATATGATCAGTCATATCCTTTGGCAGATAAAATTCGTCATGTGCCATAAATCCATAAAGCAGTAACTTAGTAACTTAATAAATCACATAGAAAGTCTTTAACAAAGGCGAGGCACACCGAGAACTTCACAGAGGATCCAAATGGGAAAACAATCAAGATTATGTTTCAATAAAACAAAATGTAAGAAAGATTGACATTAAATCCACTATGTCCACCACGTCCCCTCAGACACCAGTGTGGGACACTTGAAGGGTATTTCCTTCAGTTAGGCTGCCGTAACCTCGGCTGAACAGTGCCAATAACATCAATGCGAAAGGAAAAACCACCCGTGCAGATTCCTAAAGGCTATTTATTGGTGAGACCTCGAGAGCCGTACACAATAGAAAGATCAAATTCTCTTGTCAACTGCTTTGCATGATTTCTCTGACAAACTGCATAATGTTTGGTCTTTGCCGACTGTATCAGTTAATCGTGATGGGTTCTACATCTGTCGGCCTGATCGATTTCACCACAGCCCATAAATCTAATAGAGGAGTCAGATGCATGTGGTTTAAGGCTGAGAGGGGTTTAAACATATGACCTCCTGTCTTCACCTTCAGCTTTTTTCGGAAGAAAATGATTCTAGCATCACTATTGGCAAGCAAGATGGACTGCGAAGCCGATACCAAAGAACGCCACATACTCTGACACCCATACAGACAATGGTTGTCAGAGACATGGATGGAAAAGAAGAGCTTCCTTCCTCCGTGGAATCATAAGTGGGATGCAGAGATCAGACTGGGAAAAAGTTGATCGGTTTCCAGGCTCAAGGGATTTTCTGAAGCTTTGACTAGGAATTTCTTCGAGTCGAGGTGCTATGTGTAACATAAGATGCAGGTCTTGAGTATGTGACTCTCAAGAGCAATGAAGATATCACCTATTTAACTGATGACAGATATAGACCATCAGCAGCCCCGTCCTCCTCCCTCAGCATGTGTATGCAGTCTCTGCTTTACATCACACCACGGCATTGAAAGGTACACATGGTTCTTCCACCTATGCATCCGTTGAGAAACGGAAGGGTGGGTTGGAGGACCGTGCTTTGAGATCTGATATTGTTTGATTGGTTATCAGCTGTCTGTGGGTGAGTCAGCGTGGGTTTCATCTGCATCTAACATGTTTAGAGGCTTCCAGAATCTCTTTGATCAGCGCCCTTAATATGTAGGAAATGAAGGAAAGCTGTGTCATCTCATTGAGTACGTTTACATGGACAACAGTAATCCGATTTTAACACGATTAAGACAATACTCTGATTAAGAATCTACCATGTAAACAGAGATTTTTGATTACCTTAATCCGGCTAAAGTCATTTTCGAAGTAAACAGAAATCGAATTAAGACGTGGAGTATTCCTATTTTAGTCGCATTACTGAAGTGCAGTATAGACATGTAAACACCTTAATTGCATTATTACCGTCGTGTAGGATTACTTTTCGCCGCATTTTGCGACAGGATACACACACGGCAGTGCTCAACTGTTTGACGGCAAATAAAAGAGCTTCAACACCGCCATCGTCTGTATGCATGTACAAATAAATAACTACACTTGAAGCTTTCATAAAATTAAATATGAAACACCCAAAACGGTACATGGCATCATCACGAAGACGAATTATATGTTTAATATAATTATAGTACGATAACATGTAAAACGGGAACATGAAAGGAATATTATAAAAGCAACTCATGTAAACACCATAATCATAATATTGGCTTATTCAGAATAAGGTAAATAATTAGATTACTGATGTTCATGTAAACGTAGTCAGTGTTTCAGTAAAAACAAATACCCATGCATGGGGAACAACGTTGTTGGCAAGTTACTTCTGTGATTTGTTGAATTTATTACAGTCATCTACTAGTGAAGCATATACATTTTGGCCACAGACTAAGAAAAATGGCCAGAAATATGAACAAAAACCTCTACTTTAACAAAAACAGAACTTTTTAACTATTACAGTTAATGAGATACATCATTTTAGGGATGCATAATTTTCCTCATAGCATATTGGTTATCAGTCATTATTAGATTTAAAAAAAAATAATTATAGACAATTTTATATTATATTTTAGTCGATAATCCATATTTAATTGCACATTCCCCTATTTTTACACTTAGATTACCATTTGTATTCTAATCTAATGTAACGTCATGTAACACTCAAAGTTAATCTTTATAAACAATAATAGTTTAACACTGTTAAATTGAATCTTTAGCAAATCTCAAAATAAATTTCCATTTTCATATTGTACGTTATGATGTCTAAATTCACCTGTAGCATTTGAAATTGTTTTTAGTCTTAATTTTTATTTTTATTTACTGAGACAAAATATTATAAAATATTATTATTGGCCATTTATTAGCTACAGAATATTAGAATTTTTAGATAATTTTAATATCAGGGAATCCATACATATTTCTAATATTTATTTATATTAAATATAATGCATATTTTAATGTATTTCTAGAAGTGACACTGAATGTGGACGTCGACTGATTAACAAAAAGACCACACTTGTTTGCCTCATGCATTGAGACAGTGATAGACTAACACAACATCTCATGTAATGCACTGAAGGATACAGATGTTCTTGTATTAGACACAAATCAGTTCAAGAACGTTTGGAGTTTGTTTAAAGTCATTGATAAATTCTGACTGTCATTTTATTCAAACATTTTAAATATTGTTCCTTCCTTCCTACTTGAAGAAAACAGTGAAATCACTTAAAAGATATCGTCATAATATTACGATTATTGATAGTTATTCCAAACAAAGGCTAATTTAAAATTAGTGTTTTTATTTGCTACGTCACTCATATCCAATGTTCAAATGTTGTGTGAACATTACCTTACTGAGGTGCTGACGTATGGTTATGTTGTCTCTTTCTACAACCAGTCTCATTTCTTGGCTTCCCATGTACATACCATTGGCTGTAGAGACAGAAGGACAACAACCGAGACAGAAATGTGGATTAGCATGTTACAAAATTGTAATAAATCAGGCAGTGCAAACATAACTTAGTAAACATTTGCATAACACATCAGCCTCTGTGGGTTTGCTAAACACGAAGAGTATCAAAATTAAACACACATCCAGAAACACTGCCACAACCTCAAAGGCCAGAGCTCATACAAACACAGACACAGCAACCAGATCATGAGGATTACATCTGTTCCCGTTCACATTTACTGGATGCACACTCCTACTAACAGTCAAAATTGACCCTTATGACTGGTTTTGTGGTCCAGGGTCTCACACGACAGAATCAAACTGTTCAAGTTTCTGTCACTCTAACCTAGATTCATTCATTCAAAACTTTAAAATATAATATACGTATACATATATACATATACATACATACATATAGTGACACTCAGAGGTCAAATATTTGTATCTGTAGTCCTGTATTGTCTAACCAGTCTTTACAGGCTTAGTCACCCTGTCTGGGTTTATTTTGCAAAAATTACTGTCTAGCTGTACATTATGCATTATTTATTTTGCTACGTATCATGCTTGTACCAGTCATCATGCTTATTAAACAATACATTTACCTGTACAATGTAAGCAAACCGATTCTTTCAAGTAAATCAGAATTTTTCAATGCTGCATTTGAAAGATCCTACTTTGTTTTCTTTTATTTATATTTGTTTTACTGTCATGCTGCTAAAAAAATGGAAGTTAAATTAGTAGGCATTGCTACTTTTAGTGAGTTAAATAAAACTGCTCCCCACTCCCCACTCAGCAGTCTGAAAATCACAGATGATTTAAGATTCATGAGCAAATACGAGCTGCTCGACCTTGATGACATTGGCAGCTATTCAGAGAGACTGATCCTGATCTCGTGCAGACTAAACGTTTGGCCAAGAGATGTGTTAATATCCTTTCTCATCAGGACATTCCTCACAGTGATGATTGTTCACCCTGTGGATATAGTGCATACATGTGTGTGTGTGTGTGTGCGTGGGTACATGAAGAAAGCATGTGTGTGCGTGTGTGTGTGTGTAAAGGGAAAACTCCTCAAATGACTTGCTTCCACTGAGTGAAGAGGAAGTATGGTATGATCACACATCCACACGGCTCTAACGCTATAATATTAATCACGGCCTGTGTACTACATCATCCAGCACTGTTAACACATTTCACAAGACTGAGAGCCACATACTAAAAAGGGAAAAAAGGAGAGTAATCAATTTGATCCCTTTCTTAAAGCAGAAAAGCATGGAAAAAAAATTGTTGAAAATAATTTAAAGTTACGCCATGTTTCATTAGGAAGTTAATTCTTTATGTTTAATTCAGCACAATATTTTACAGAGGAAATTATTTTTGGAAATGGGGAAAACTGAACTAAGGGGTTTTCCCACATTTCATTAGTGGTGGTTGCAAAAAGAATTATCAGTCCTTGGTCTGAACATGCCTATTTCAATGGAAGCCCGTTTCCGCCACTGAATAAAAAATAAAGAAAATGTAATTGCGACTTTTTATCTCACAATTCTGACTTTTTTTCTCATAATTGCGTGACATAAACTCACAATTGTGAGTTATAAAGTCAGAATTGCGAGATATAAACTTGCAATTTGGAGAATTTTTCCCCCTCAGAATTGGACTTTATAACTTGCAATTGCGAGTTTATATTTCACAATTCTGAGAAAAAAGTCAGAATTTTGAGATAAAAAGTCGCAATTACCTATTTCAGCCCTCTACGGACACCTTGGCAATTTATTCCCGGCATCAGAGAGGTTTCAGAGTCACTTAAGTGTTTGGGTTGGCTGCTGTTTGCTTCTAAATAAATGTTAAAGCTACATGTAAGCTTTCCTTTGCATTTTGATGTGTGCTAAAGGGAGACGTAAGTCATTTGAGATGAGGTGCAAACAAATATTTACCATAGAACACAATGAACTCCTTGAACACTCACTAAGATATCTAATTTTATTACACTAAACACATCACAAACAACATCTCCACCCACTGAGGTAAACTGGATCAGAGGATGTTTAAACTAGAGGGTTTAACAGAAGAGTAAAGTTCACTGCATTTCCACTACCTTTACCCCTTGAATCAAATAAGAATCTTTTACTGTAAGCAAATAATCAAGTAAGCCTGTTTCAGTTATTCTACCACATCATGCTTATCTGAGATAACAACAATCACTGAGCACTTTAAATCTCGATTACATATTATCATATATTCAAATAAGTACATTTTAAGTGAACATATTTCTGCCATTTGCTGGTACTTTAAGAGTTTGATTCACTCTAAATCCATGATGCAGGTTGTGAATGCAAAAGAATCCACCATATTTTTTAAATTCTTAAACTAATTTAAAGTTTTTTTTAAATAAAGGCTGGATGGTTGAAAATACATAAAACAAGTTAAGATAGAATTATTGCATATTATTAATCTTATTTCTGATAAATAAATAAACAAACATTACTCTTTATATTATTAATATTCAGGTGAGCAGGTTACAAAAAAAACAAGTTTGTGAAGGGAGTGTTGACTTAAGACATTTTATTTAATATTTAGAATACTATATTCACATTTTTCAACCCTGCAAAATTAAAGTGTTGTATAAATTCAAGCCCATTTTCAAATGACAACCTTAATGCAGGTAATGCAAAAGGTAGGATTACAGATAAGAGGAAAATCCCATTAATGAGGAGAAGGTAGGGAGACGTGTGTGCCAGTCTTGGGCAGTGATCTGCGAGACATCCCCTGTTCTATCTCACTTATCTCCAGGGGGGTATGGGGCTGGGGGGTTTGGCAGGGCACAGCATTCCACTCAATTTTACACATCCTCACACATGCACCTAGTTAACCACTGACTGGAGAGGTAGAACAAGGGATACATGCGCAAAGAAACGCAGACACAGACACACAAAGATGCAAATAGACAAACACGTGGCGATATTTCAGTGTCTCCTGTGAGCGTTCTGGGTGCTTCCATGTGGCAAGGCACAAAAAGATGGGTAGTTGAAACATAACATGTTCAATGTGAACTTCAAAATTTTAATTAATATTAGGCTGCTGTTTTGAATGTAAATGTACATGTTGAAATTGTCATTTCAACTACCCATATGTACTGAGAAAATGATCGTGCTGATTATAATTCATAATTGAGCCAAATATTCAACTATTAATCAAGGTATCTAATCTTCAAAGTTTTATAAAAGAAAATCAACTGTAAAAGACTATAGGGATTCAAGGAGCAGAAGGAGCCTCACAAACAAACAAAAGCTTTTAAATGTTCCATCCTGTTCAGTTCAAGATGGAGAACAAAAAGTTTTCTTCTTCCACTGTGCCTAATGTGCCTCTTTACTCCTTGCATTTGCTTTAAATTGTCCCGTTTATATTTATTTTACATGACACACTCCTTTATTGATTCTAAAACCATCTATTTACTTCTTTTCTCCAGTCACTTTGCATTAGTTACACTAACAAGACAATTTCAAGTTCATGACGGCACAATTGTTTGAAGTCCACATACACAAAGTACAGCATTTCATTCAGTTTCTCAGCCGTTTGCACAGACCACAGAATCACAATGTGCTTCTCTTCATTCTATTTGCCTTTAAAAGAGCTAAGTGAATGTGACAATTATATTCTCTCTTCCAATTCAATAACACATGTCATAATAGAAACTCACATCAACCGAAATACAATACAGGTTTCTTTTTTCATTACATTAAAAAGTGGGAGGCCGTGATCCATTGCAACTCAAGAAAAGTCACAGAGCAGAAATTTTGGGGAGTTACATTAATAAACAAACCTTGCATTATCATCTGTCATCACTTTTTCATTCATACCCCTAATGAACAGGATATTCCTATTCGACCCTTTGAGGTGGCTTGTGTTTTCTTTTTTCATGAGATCACACCTGAGGACCAGGTTGTGAAATTAACTGTAACTAATAAAGGAACTGCTGCGCAAACAAGTTCAATAGAGAAACTACAATTTCAGCATGGCTCTATTATTAGGGAAGGTCAACCGTTCAGCCATATATCAAAAACCACAACGAGAAAATGACTGTTGTTACGTACTGGATGAGGGGGAAAATTTTTTTAGGGGATTTTTACTGCCCTCTGGGCTAACACAAGAGTTGCAGATGTGGTTCTTGGATCTCAAGTAAAATAATAATATAAAAATAATATAAATGACTAGCCAATGGACACATTGTCATAAAATGACAAACCTTTAATATCAGGCAGCACAGTGCTCTAAGAAGTGTGGAAAATCAGGAATCTATGTTTTCAGCTTTGACATGATCAAATCCTGACACTCCATTGTATTATATAATGATTTTCAAATGGAGTAAATGATGTATGGCACGATCCTCAGTCCTTCAAACCTTCAACAGATAATAATGAAATCAAACATGTTCTCATCAGTTCTATGATCCTAACAGACAACAACATAACAAAACAGATGACATGTAGTCCTTTATAAAAATCTCAGAATAGTCAAAAATAACCTAAGGCATTTCAGTTTAACTTTAGCACTGAAACCAGATGCAACAAGCTTACATAGGTGTAAATAAAACTTGATATTTCAATCCGAATTTGTTCCAAGAGGTCTTATAAGGTTGTGTGGAGCAGTTTATTTTAAGATTTAAAAGATGATCTTGTTTGTTTTTGCATAACTGTGAGTACATTGAGTATCTCAAAGATGCCCCTCTTTATGCACCACATTGAGCACTGCATCTTTCTATTGTGTCCTGCTCCATCTAATGGTGATGTGCAGGCAAATACTAGAACAGCTTCCATGGACACGGTGACTAAATTGTTTTAACACTACTTCTTGGTATGGTTGCCGGATGATGTACTATTTTTTTGTTGTTGTTGTTGTCTGTTAATGCAAAATGGTCCTTATGAATGTTTCTCAAGTTTATAAAAAAAAGAACATCTGCAAGGAAATAGACTGATCGCGGTAAAACATGGTAGAGCATTATGGTTACCATGTCTGACCTCATAAATATCATATGGCTACTGCCAAGATGCTTACAGGGATAGTTCATCCAATAATGAGTCATTTACTCACCTTTGTATCATTCCAAACCTGTATGACTTCTACAAAACACAAAAGAGGATGTTTTAAAGAATGTTGGTAGACATACACTGAATTCCACTGTATTGACAGAAAAACAAAATTGAGGAATTTCTCAAAAGAAAGAAAGTCATACAGGTTTGGAACAACATGAGGTTGAGTATATGATGACAGGATTTTCAATTTTGAGTGAACAAATGCTTTAAGATTTTGAGACACACTGGAAAAAAAAAACATTCCACTACACGTTCCCATTGTGTTCTGACCATCAATGGGGAACAAAAACTACAGGAAGAAACAACAATTGATCAACAGTCAAGTTATTTTGTGTTTTGTTCAGTTATTAGTCTACCAATGTAAAGGTGTTCCACATATTGGCCGACTTTCCAAGCAGAAACAGGTGGCCGGAGGAGGAAGTGAATATGACTCAAAAGTAAGGTGGCAGATAAGAAGTCCACGAGTTTAGCCTCTAGGTTCCAAAATCAGGTCGGTGTTAACTTTGTTCCGCTCTAACAGGAAAGGAAGCCACTTGCTGCGACGCTCTGTTTTCCCGCTTTCCCAAGCGAGTCAAATTATGATCGGAACAGCAAAAACAACTAAAGACAGATGAGTTTAATCTGCATCCCCAAAGATGGTGGGTCAAATCTCTCGGTTCTCATAAATTAGGCCAACAGAAGCCTGGCTAGAAAAGTGCAAAAGTGTTCAATCATAAAAAACATGTCATGAGAACTGGCATAAGATGTTAGGTGAGTGAAAACAGAAGCTGTGTGAAGTGGAGTGTTGCAGTCTACTGAAAGGATAAGGCATATTAGAGACTGTTACATAGCCGCTTTCCCTGCGGATTTGCAAGCAGGCATGCCTCACTGACGTTTATGCTCCTAGATGCAGAACCTTGATGTCTGCATGACAGACATTGTGTGCATGCTCCACATGCAGTTAACATCAAAATATCAACATTCTCAGTTTCAAGGAAAGGGATTTCTGAGCAAATAAATCCTTAAATGTGCCCAGGAAGTTCCACCTAATAGCAACATGCTTTCTTAATTAAGTCTGTCAACTCGCCATTAATTACAGATGTAATACAAGACAGAGAGTAAGAGCAGCTTTTCGTATGCAGTCATGGGCCAGCAGCACTCAATGGTACAAAACGCACGCATGCACATGTGTACATACAGGACCACCTGGCCTTTTCAATGAATAACAAGAGATTAAACTTTCTTGCAGCAAAGTATTTCAACATTTGTTGGTATTTAATAAGGAAAAGGGGAAGAGAGTTGCACTTGAACATTTTATTCAGATGAAAAAAGAAACAAAATCCATTCCAATTGACACTACATGAGAAGTGCTAATGATTAAAAGCATGCTTACAAGTGCTGTCAGGAGCTAACCTCCAACTCACTGCGTAAAGTTGGTATTTAATAAGGAAAAGGGGAAGAGAGTTGCACTTGAACATTTTATTCAGATGAAAAAAGAAACAAAATCCATTCCAACTGACACTACATGAGAAGTGCTAATGATTAAAAGCATGCTTACAAGCGCTGTCAGGAGCTAACCTCCGACTCACTGCGTAACACAGGGAGAGAAAAAGAGAAAAGAACCTAAAGGTAGAACGGACAGCTAAAAAACAGACAAAAAGGAGAAAAGAAGGGTGCGGGAGCGAGAGAACTGGTTCTTCAGAGCGACTAGAGAGTGGAGCTCACACTAATGCCTCTGGGCTCTACTGAGGCCTCTTTGGCAGAGATTCTCCGGCCATCACAACATCCATCACTCTCCTCCCAGAACAGACATGGAAAACACTCACAGCCTTTCACCTAGAGAGAGACTACGTTAGCGGTCCGTTCCCTCGCTGGAGAGGCCTCTTAATTACTCCTACTCACAACACTTCATCTGCACCATTAGTTCATGTACCGAAAGCCCTAGAGATTAAATATGAGTTATGATAAATAAAACTTTATTCAAAACATTGTGAGACAACGCTCTCTTGGCGGCCACTCAAATATTATTTGCATTTTCCCCTGCTTTGGCCTCAACTTTTTTTATCTGAACTAAATCGGCCGAATCATCTTGAAGTGGTGATATACTTCTTACCATCAGATATAAAGAGAGAGCAACGCATCTGAGCAGTCGAGGTTTGGAAGGATGCCAGCATGTGAACTTTTGAAAGGTTTCAGCACCTCATTGAAACGAGGATTAGATCTTTGGAGCAGAGTCCAAACTGAGAGAGATGGAAATGGAGAAGTGAGGGGACATCACTGAGGTGAACAGAAAGGTTGTGTGATAGTAACACTTCAGCAGTCTAATAATGCTCGGAATATTAAAGATGCTGCACTAGATTATCACATGTGAGATGCATTCTGACAACAACAAAACATCACCACTGCCAGTTGATATTCTGGGCCAAAAGAAAAAACACATAATGATTAGTCATTTGTCATTATATTTGACACTTATATCACAAGAGACAATACACTTATTACAGTATCTTGTGTACTTTTTCAACATTTTCTTTGGTGACTGAGGGGGGGGCAAACTGTGAAAATTTTGGAAAATGGATTAAAGTGATGAAATAAACGTGTGTGAAAATGAGAAATGAAATAAACAAAATGTGTTAAAAAACAAAACAAAATGTGTTAAAACAAGCTAAGAGTACTACACTGTTATGCAGCTGAAAAATGAATGAATTAATTTAATAAACAAACACACAAGGACCGGAAGAACCAGGACAATAAAATAACCAATATATTTGTTTTCATTCTCTCAATATTTAATTTTGAAAAGCAATTCTGAGTAAATATTGAGTAAAATAACTTCATTTAAATTTATGGATTTTGTGTAACATACACAAAATTGCTGAATTCAAATAAGTCAAATAGTAATTAGTGCTGGGCAAAGATTAATCATGATTAATCGCATCCAAAATAAAAGTTTTTGTTTACATAGTATATGTGTGTGTACTATGTATAGTTATTATGTATTTATATATACATAATAAATATACACAGTACACACACATATATAATGTAATATGCTAAATGACTAAATAAATAAATAATGTAAACAAAAACTTTTATTTTGGATGTGATTAATTGCCCAGTACTAATATAAAGTTTTTGTTTACATAGTATATGTGTGTGTACTATGTATAGTTATTATGTATTTATATATACATAATAAATATACACAGTACACACACATATATAATGTAATATGCTAAATGACTAAATAAATAAATAAATAAATAATGTAAACAAAAACTTTTATTTTGGATGTGATTAATTGCCCAGCACTAATATTAATGCATATATGAATCAATAATAAAAAATGTGAGTATTTGATTAATTTAACTTAAAGGGTTAGTTCACCCAAAAATGAAAATTAGCCTGTGTTTTACTCACCTTCGAGGCATCCTAGGTGTATATGACTTTCTTCTTTCAGACGAATCCAGTCGGAGTTTTATTAAAAATTGTCCTGGCTATTCCAAGCTCTATCATTGCAGTCAGCGGGTGTTGCAGTTGAACGGTCCGCAAGTCCTCAAATAAAGCGCGCGCATCCATAATAAAACGTGCCTCACACTGCTCCGGGGGGTGAATAAAGGCCTTCTGTAGCGAATCCATGTGTTTTTTAAGAAAAATATCCATATTTCAAACGTAATAAACACTTTTCTCTCACTTCCGGTATTTGTCGGAACGGAAGCCGTTCCGGCGGATGTCGTAGCACGTCGGCGTTGCGTGATTAGTGACGAACGCGGAGAGAGAACAAAACAAAACGCCGGTCACGAATTAGAAGTACAAACTGAGGATTTGTAAAGAAGAATGTCGGAGGATTTTGATATAAACCACGAGGAGACTGGTTTTCCTTTGCTTAACCCTTTAAGCACTTTTGTGTACATCTGATCTTATTAGCTATCATTAAACTGTAATAAGTATAATTGTATAAATGTGTTTAAATTGTGTGTATACACAAATTGTAAAACTGTAAATACACACACACACACACACACACACACACAATTCCACAAAAATAAAGAAATAAAACTAAATAAATAAATAAATGTACTATTGAAAGAGAAATATACCGATTGATCACTAAATTACACCACTCATCACACATTAAAATGGCTTTCAGGAGCTTGTTCTATTGAAACAAGAGAGGAAAAAGTTTACTCAAGCCCTACATTCAACCGCAGATGAGCACGGATGAACGAGTTCGACACATGCAGTACCACCTAGTGGACTCATTCTGTCTCAACATTTACCTCGTGCCTGCGCTGTTGTACATGGACCGTCCGCACGGACACAAACACTGGGCTGCATGCGGACGCTTCTGATGATGAAAACTGCGCCACACACAGCGCACGGACAGTTGTGGAACGCGGACGGCCAAAGTAAGCAGTTCTTAGCACGTTACAATGCATTTGCTAAGGCCTTGCAAGCAGTTGTTAGCACGTTGCTATGCAAACGACCTATTATTGCTACGAACGAGTCAAAAGTTTACTCACCAGCACAGTCTACATTGATCAGGCTGACGGTGGCTGGGATGATGGAGGTGTCCACTGCATATGAATTCCTCAAAGCCAGATGCACTATGCTGACCTTCAGCCTCTCTGGAAGGAGGGACAGCAGGAAGATGGGCAAATAGAAGGTGTACCGCAGCCGGCAGAGCACAGGGGTCATGACCTTGCCTTGAGGGCTATAGGCCATGCGCTCAATCGTGGGGAAGAGCATGACCGCCTTCACAACCTGAGGATGACAAGTACAGAAGGAGATTTTTGAGATGATCGTAGGTCACGAAAACTGTGCTTTCCCTAGACCCATCTACTTTTGGTAAAAGTAGTTGACACTTTGGTTAAGTAACTGACACTTAGAAAAACAAGACCAGCAGAACAAAATGTTACTTACCAAGATGCAACGCATAATATTTATGACAGCATTGTGAGCACTTTTAATCATAACAAATGACATTTCTTAATTTCAATGCTTAAGACTTATCAAACTATGAAAAATGACATGCCTGTGCTTTCACTATATTATGAAATCGATAGGAGAGACATGGGAAGGAGGGAACAGAGGAGAGAGAGAGACTTCCAGAAACAGGAAACACCTGCCTCTGTTTGGCCATTGAGTAGAAGGCAGCTAGACACATTCAGTGAGTAAGACAGAGTGGATGTGCTTCATCTGTCTCTTCAATCCTTTGCAGTTGCAGCCAAGTATTTTTCAATGCAACTAAACAGTGCAATATCTTCAATTCTCTTGTGTAAAATATGTGATAGCCAGCACAATTCTTTGTCAGCAGTGCCAAATGCAATCTATTCAGCTTCAAACCACTAAACTTCAAACTCAGCTAGTTCTGCAATCCTGAAAGAGAGCTGGTTTCATCACGCCCCGGCAATAGGCGATCAGGCAAAGTTCTGCTGCCACTGAATTTATCATCTGAAAGGGCCTTAAGGAACTGAAAAAATATCTATTGCTGTCAGTGGAAAAGACATCAAAATCCAAATGGATGAGAGATTCACAATCCAGAGTTACTCTGGTGTAACAATTACAATACAAACCATCAATTGAGTGGAAATCAAATGAGTTGCTCTGTTCACATGTGTGAAGAAATAAATCTATACAAAGTACTCAACTAAAAACTAAATTTTCTGGAGTGAATGCGAATGGTGCAAAACCTGCCACCATGATGCTAGGCATTCTGGGTGGTTGCCAAGACTCTACTATGCATATGCTAAGATGTTCTGAACGATTATTAGCACATTCCCTACAAACAGGGGACGTTGCGAACATCCGTTTAGGTTTGCAGTAAGTCCGCTTTGTAACGTTCGCTGACAGACTGCGAACCAGTTTGCGAACGTCCCTATTTTGTCCCTCATCTGCCATTTCCATTACAACATTTGCAAAATCCAGTCGCCCATGCATAGCCTTTTATCATCAGACCTGACACCTTGCAACTCAGACAAAGGAAAAAATAATCTAAAATATAAACCCATGGATTTTAAAGGGTGATGTGGTTATTCCTTAAAACAAAATCCCTTAATTTAACCGTGATAATGGATTGAATGCAAAAAACATGTTTTGTTTTGTAGATTGATATTAGGATATAATTTTTATACTATAGTAAAAATAATAAATGCTTGATTTGAATTAATTGTAAAATAAAGTTAATGTTAAAAAAATTAATAACTTTCATTTCTGGAAAAAAAATAAAGGAGTAACTTCTGTAATTAAAGATGTCATCAGTCTGTTTTAAGCAGTTAGGCTATAATTTAAACATCAAAAACATGATACCCTTCAATAATATAATTAAATATAGGCATGCATGAAAAAAATAAAGCTGAATCTCAGGAGAATGTTAGAGTCGACTGATGAATGCAGCCAAGGAAAACATGAAGACTGGAAAAGCACATTACTGGAAAAGAAAGTGGAAAATAACAAATAAATGAATCCTACCTATTTACATGTCAAACTGTTGGTCAGGCGACAAGAAAGGTTACTTTAGGAAAATTATTATTTTAGTTATTGCACTTACGACTGGTGTAGCACGTGTGCATCATGTTCTGGAAATAGACCATGAGACTTTTTGCCAAAATCTAGCAAGATGTCATGGCAACCTTTCCAGTGTAAGTTAAATATTAATAATAATTAGATATTACGTATAATTTGGTAGTAAAACAAAGTGTTCCACATTTTATTGGTGCAAAGATGAGCATGTTTATTTTGTACAAAAATTGCAACTGCTTTTTATCACTTAATTAGAATTATGGTCTCATGTTATAGAAACTACTGAACAGACATTTAGAAGTTTATATTAAAATGCAAAGTATTGAAAATCGAAATAAAGCTCTGTTTCATTACCCATGAGGTAATGAAAACTGCTATAAACACATGTGGTCTTCATGCTCACTTATACGCTTGGGCCAAATACAGGAAATATGTTGTCTAAGTAGACAAGTGGTCAAGTGCAAAGACCACAAGTGTTGGAAATTTGGACATTGGGCTGCACGCGGACACTTCTGATGACGAAAACTGCGTCACGCAGACAGTGCACAGACAGTTGTGAACGCGGACGGCCCAAGTATGCTTGAGGCTTAAGCAGTTCTTAGCACGTTACTATGCATTTGCTAAGGCATTCCAAGCAGTTGTTAGCACGTTGCTATGCAAATGACCCTTTGCAAAGACCCGCTCCCCTTAGTTATTATTTCTACGACAGACAAGCCATGGCGCTCTCACGCCAAACATCATGTTCTCACACAGTGAAAAATACATCGTGGAGCAAAGAGGACACTGACAACACACCAACAGACAAGACAGAGCAGGTTACTTTTGGTATGAAACAAAGTCTTAGCATCCAAATGCTGTCATTTAAAAAAAAAATTCAAACAATAAATAGCGTTTTGTGGCTCTTTAATGTGTCGTGACAGGTCGCTGTAGCACCTCAGTTCAAGGGGCACACGAACCAATCATCTCTTCCTTTTTACTACTAGTTATAACATGAAATAAACATGAATGAACATCAGAAGGTATGTAGTTCAACTGCAGAAAGACATCAATACACACCATTTTTCAAGTTCAAGTTCACCAATGTAAATACAACTCTCCTGTCTGGTTTCTTTGTCAGACAAAATGGCAGATACTGCTTTATGATTGGTCAAATCGCCTTTAAATCAGACTCTCTGCGAATGTTGCTAAGATGTTCTGCTCCTGCGCAGTTTCTAAGGTGTTTTGGATGATTTCCAGGGTGCAACTATGCAGTTGCTAAAGTGTACTAAACCAGTGGTTCCCAACCCTGTTGCTAGGGTGTTCTAAGTGGATGTTAGCACACTGCTATGCAGTTGCTAAAGTGTTCTAAGTATGAATAATAGTAATAGCAATATTAATAGTGGCCACTAATAAATCTAAGTTCACATACGGCTCAAGGAAGCACTCAACCCTCTCACGTAATACTTTTCATCTGCTATTCCACGGCTCATCCTGATGCCCATCATTTGTCAGACAAAGAGAGAGAGAGTGGAAAAGAGCCAGTGAAAGAGAGAGGGAAAGGTGAAGAAGAGGGAGTGTGTGCGGAGCAGGTGATCTTTGATGTGCAAGTAGTGCTTTTGACAAGAAGCAGTTCCTCTTCCTGGAGGTCACAGGAATGTAACAGAGAACACAGAACAATCTGACAGAGTATCTGGGAGTGGCTCTTTAATCAGAGAGACAGACGGCCAGTCACACACACACACACACACACACACACACACACACGCACACACACACGCACACGCACACACACATGCACACTTCTACTTCTAGAGGGTTCCTTCTCTGGTACTGCCGAGGTCAGGAAGGGGGAAGGAGTTCTCTGCATCTGGAGAAGGGGCGAAGAGAGTTTAAACGTCACAAACTGACTTCCATGGATCTGAGATGTGAGGGTGCGATCTGATAGTGGAGGAATGTTAATGATGCACAGATCTACTGGAGCTTCAGACAGCATGATGGATCATACGGCAGTCCAGACCACATCTCTTTCAACTCAACCACTTACAGTGAGTATCTCAATGGAAATGTGTTGCAAGGGCCGCCTCCACTCACGTCAAACCGCTCCGTGCCTTCGAACATGGCCTTGCGGCCAGGCTCCCAACTGGAATAGACACGATAGAGGAGTGGTGATGTAATGAACACTGCTGGAAGTGTGTGAAAAAGCCTACATGAAATTGATAGTGCCCCGTCATTGCTATCCTTAAATGCCAAGTGCCTTTTTGCGAAAAGACTGGTCAGTCAGACTGGTCAGACCTCATAGGTCCTGGAGGAAAGCATAAGGGAAACACTAAGTCACTTTCATTTAGACAAATGAACGCACCAGGTCAAGTAAGGATGCAAGGCCACCGTGACCCTTACTCTCCACCAGGTCAAGGGAAACCGCTGCCCCTCATGTCCCACACTGAACGATAACAAATAATGACGCTGTAAGTGTTTTCTCAACCGTGTGACTGCATGTCCAATGGGCTGGACAGTCCATAGTCACGTCTGGGAGCTTTATCTTGTGATGGGTAATCTGAGCCAGGGCTATGTGCTGTAATGTTTTTGCTTGTGTTTGGCTCATGCTGTGCCTGTAACAACGTTTTATTTGAGTAAAGTATGAAATCATACCAATACTTCAGGACTGTCGGTGTGACCTCTGCTCCCCGAATGGAGGCCCACCCAGAACGCTGCGACACATACTCACCCACAAGTTAACCTACACACCCAAATCCTCGTCCTGGAAGAGAAAGACACGTTGTTGTGTCAGGGGAACTTGAGTGTGCCATTAGTCCACTGAGGAGAATGACAGGACTTGTTAAGCATTCTTCTTAGCAAGCATTTCCAAGAATCCCTTCAGCTTTCCAATAGAATGCATCTCGTACAGATTAGCCAGTATTTTGTTTAGCATCTCTCACTTAATCGACATGTATCTTGTTCAAACCATGTTGGTTTAACAATAGAACTATTGTTAATGTCATTGTCATGGAATATGTTCCACAGAAGAAAGTAATTCATACAGGTTTAGAACAACACAAGAATGAGGAACAGAATTTTCATTTTTGGGATGACCTATTCCTTTTTGATTGCAATTAGAATAGCTCACTATTGTAAGAAACATTATCTATGAAACTAATAAAATGCAAAGCAACACTTCAGCCAACAGCTGTTAAACCAAACTATACATCTGTGCAGACAAACGTAGGAAATGACATCACCTTCCCAGGGATGACAAGATGGTTGCTGCAGGAGGAGGCCTAAAGCATTTTCCTCACCTAACAGTCCCAAGAGCTCTACCTCAGACTGAGATGTAGGGTGGAAAAGGTCTTTTCTGCAGTCTCAAATCTGAGCGACAAATCAATTTCTCTCTTCTGACGGTCTATTCTACAACTGGCACATACACAATGTCACTTTATTACAACAAGCAAGTACTTCAAAGGCAACAGGGAAGACTTGTGAACTGGACTCATGCCAGAGACATACAATTGAGCAACTCCATATGCAGTCAATCAAACGCTTCCTCTAGTTTTAGGGAGGTTTTCCAATCTACCTCATGCTGCTCCTGGTCTGAGGCTGAAATCTGCAAACATTCTTCTCCAGAAGTGCACTAAAGAAACCTCTACCATCATTTAAACTGACTGGTCTTTTCCACTCCAAAATAAATATCTAGAGCCAATAGTAACAGTTCCTGATTATCACACATTATATGTTACTAGGCCTAATCGCCAGGTTGGCTTCTTGGCAGCCTGCAATCTGGGACAAAAAAGGAAATATTTTTCTCCTTTGTGCATGTTTGCTCTGAGCCATGCCATATCTGCCATATACATTGTACAGGGATTTAACCAGCCATTATTTGAAAAGAACAGATTCAGACGAGTTTACAAAAAGGTCTACATGGTTGGCAATGTTTTAATGACCTGGAATGAAACATTTTTCACAGGTTATGAAAGAGGACCTTCGAATCGATGAGTGAGATTGGGAGGTTGTAGAGAAGAAAAAAAGACCAGCTTTTTTCTGAAGTTCCTGAACTAAACCACTAAAAGTGGTTTGGACGTGGATTGTCTCCAAAAGTATCAGAACATATATTTATTGCACTGCAAAAAGTGGTACATAACTGTACTGGCCCCATTAATGAAGCTAAAATCCATTTCTCTTTGTCAGGAGGAAAGCATGCCCCTCTAGTGAGAGGAAATACTAAATAAAAAAAGGATGAAAGGGGAAAAGTGGGTAGAGAAAATGCTTGAAAATAAAAATGACAGAGAGCACATCTTAGAGCAGGAAAACCCCAGAGGAAGAAAGAAAATCAAAGTTCTTTTCCATGTTATTTAATCTCCTGACCTTTTACACAGCAAGGAAAGGGAACAGAAGTGTCTTATTATGCTGTTGATTGGCAGTGTCTCACTCTGCTTTCACACGTTACATACTTTCATGCAGTGACCATGTTTTGGCGGTATGTCCTGTAATGGCAAAGTTGCATATTGCTGAGGTGGTCTGCAGAGGTTATGCAGACAGCAGCACTGTAGCCATTATTCATACTGTTTAAGGTGAAGAATCAGACAGAATCAGTAGATAGTCTCTATAGGTAACACAATTAAATACGAAAAATTTAAATTCTGTCATTAATTACTCACCCTCATGTCGTTCCAAACCCGTAAGACCCTCGTTCATCTTCAGAACACAAATGTAGATATTTTTGATGAAATCCGAGAGCTTTCTGACCCTGCATAGACAGCAAGGGAACTATCAGATTCCAGGCCCAGAAAAGTAGAAAGGACATCGTTAAAATAGTCCATGTGAATGCACAGAGACTGTAACTTCATATATCAGTTTCTGTGAAGATATGTGCATTCCTACCAGGACATTCTTATCTGGTTATATATTTATGTTTCAGTATAATTACGCACGCTATACCAGGGGCGGTTCTAAACCCTTTTTAGGTGGGTTTCAGCCCCCCTATCTGTCACCTTAGAAATTAGACCAACTTGGGGGGGGGCGCATGTCCTAAAAGGTTGAAAACCCCTGGTGTAGAGGATGTAAACCGGGTCTTCAGGAAGCAGAAATCTAGGAAAGCTTCAGGCCCAGATGGTGTTTCACCTGCCTGTTTAAAAGTCTGTGCTGACCGACTGGCCCCCATCTTCAACAGATCTCTGGAGCTTCAAACGCTCCACCATCATTCCAGGCCCCAAAAAGCCCAAAATCACTTAATGACTACAGACCTGTCGCTCTCACGTCTGTGGCCATGAAGTCATTTGAGCGACTGGTCCTGGCCTACATGAAGGACATCACTGGATGCTTGCTGGATCCTCTTCAGTTTGCCTACAGAGCAAACAGGTCTGTGGACGATGCAGTCAACATGGGACTGCATTGCATCCTGCAACACCTTGACAGACCTGGGAATTATGCAAGGCTGACCTTCTCTCAGACAAACTCACACAGCTCTCTGTGCCCACCTACATCTGTCGGTGGATCACAAGCTTCCTGACAGACAGGCAGCAGCTAGTGAGGCTGGGCAAACTCACATCCAGGACTATCACCATCAGCACTGGCGCCTCTCAGGGTTGTGTTCTCTCCCCACTGCTCTTCTCTATCTACACGAATGACTGCACTTCAAAGGACCCCTCTGTCAAGCTCCTGAAGTTCGCGGACGACACCACAGTCTTCGGCCTCATCAAGGATGGAGACGAGTCGGCTTACAGACAGGAGGTTAAAGAGCTGGCTGTCTGGTGCAGTCACAACAACCTGGAGCTCAACACGCTCAAAACTGTGGAGATGATCGTGGACTTCAGGAGAAACTCCTCAGCACTCCCCCACTCACCATCATGGACAGCACTGTGACTGCAGTGGAGTCATTCAGATTCCTGGGCACCACTATCTCTCAGGACCTGAAGTGGGACACTCAGATAGACTCCATTGCTAAAAAGACAGACATCAAGAGACTACAGCGGACAGTCAGGACTGCTGAGAGGATTATCGATGCCCCTCTGCCCATCTCCAGAGTGAGGAAAAGGGCTAAATATGTCAGTTGTGTCCATCACAACTGACATATTTATACACAGAATCCAAAATTTGTACACTTGTAAACTGCACACTTTGTAAATAACATATCTGCACACTTATAACATATCTGTACATTTATCTAAACAATTACATTTTTTCCTATACTTCTATTTCTGTGTATAGTACATTATTTAATTTCTGTTTTTTTTTTCTTATATTAGTGTTATATTCCCATCCCTACTGTATTATTCCTATGTATGTCTGCACTATGTCTGTACTTTCTTCTGCACTGGAAGCTCCTGTCGTCAAGTCAAATTCCTTGTGTGTGTAAACATACTTGGTAATAAAGCTCTTCTGATTCTGACATCAGTGGTTCAACCGTAATTTCACAAAGCTACAAGAATACTTTTTGTGCACAACGAAAACAAAAATAACAACTTTATTCAACAATTTCTTCTCTTCCGGTCAGTCTCTGCTGCCATTCACGAGAGTACCACGACGTATGCGTGAGCATTCCTCTGCTTGTAAACAAGGCGTAGCGCATCTGGGTTCTACGTCAACAGCACCACACACAGTTGAAGATGAACGAAAGTCTTACGGGTTTGGAACAACCTGGAGGTGAGTAATTAATGACAGAATTTTCATTTTTGGGTCTAACTATCCCTTTATATTCAATTATAACATTTTATTATATATTAATCTAACAAACTTATCTGATTTGGAATTTAAACTGAATGAAAAATATTTATGTAATTTTGATTTGTAATTTTGTTTGTTTCTCTGATTTTAAATGTGCTGAAATTTGCCCATAAATATACATAAATATTTTTCCTTCAGCTTAAATTCCAAATCAGATTTAATGTTGATTTAATGTTATTAATTGCATTTAATGTTAAATTTTAAAAATAATTTACTATAAAATAATATATTCAAAATTAAATTACAAATATACAATAATATATGCAATATAACTAAATAAATGTATCTGTATATTTACAGATAATATTGTATGCAATTTTTTTTAACTGAATGCTAAAAATCATGTTAATTCATATAATATAATACTGTTTTTTTTTCACTTGGGAAAGGGAAATGGAGATTCATAATATATAAATATTGTAAATAATTATTCATAAAAAAGTGAGACCATATTCAGCAACTAGTAGGATGTGTGCTACATTAGCCACAAAGTAGTTCCATGGACTTTCTCATCCAGTCGTTTATACCTTTAGCTCTGGGTCTCTCTTCATCATCTCCAAGATGATATAGCAACCAATGGAGTGACCAATCAGCAGCAGGTTGGTGTCCCGAGGCACATGCTTTCGAAGGAAGGTCAGCTTGTGTTCAATCTGCCCGTTTAGCCCAAAAACATCCTCCTCCTCAGTCACAGATGCATCTTTGAAAGAAAAAGAACAACTGCATAAAGCTCTCACACCAAACCCAATTTACATCATCACATGGTGGCCAGGACTGTTGCCAGTACTTTCATCATGACCTAGAACTAATAAATACAGCAAATAATATAATTAGACAAAGCTGCCTAGTTTGATCGATTGTGGAGCTCCGATCACAGCTGAATGAGAATTGTAAAGGATCCAGAAGACACATTAAATTGTTAAGCGCTCCATATAAGAAGTTTTCTTTCATCATCTTGATCTTGTTCTTCATTATTTCTTTGGAAAGGAGTAAAATTACACTATTGAACAATAGCAGTAACTGAAGATCCTGATAATTCTTGGCAGGCTTTGATATTAATATCTTCCTACAGGTGCTGAATTCACCAGTATGAACCTGAGAAAGGATAAGAATTAGAAAGACAATGGACTGTGCAGAAACAAAGGTATGACAGAAGAAGTTGGACTGAGGTGGGGTGAGGCTGAGGCATTTATCACTATGATGAGTTATGGGAGCAGAGCTGTTAAGGATGAGACAGGGGGAGAGAGGAGTACCAGAGGGGAGAGAGAAATAACTCATATTAGCTTCAAGACATAAATAGACAAAGTGCTCCTTCATGAGACATTTCACAATATATGGTTCCTGGAGCACACTGCATCTTCTCCTCTTTCTAAAATAATAAAGATATCTCAACTGACATAGTTGCACATGGCTAATTACTTAGACCTGTTTTATGATGAGATGTGCTGGAATAACAAATCATAAGGGTCTCGTGGATTACCTAGAAATGGACTGTTGTTGAAAGACAAATTAATATATTTTTATAAATTATCGGCAACATATTTAAAAAGAACACCCTCATTTTTTTTTATATAAAAAGTGATTTAAAAAAAATGTTTTTCAAGGAAGTTTATAAAAAATTTTTTTTTAACATTGCTTTCGTGAAGTGTGCAATACTGTAAAAGAGAGCTGCTACTTCCACAGACCTTCACATCTATACAGAAGATAAAAACAGATTTCAGAAAGGAAAGGATGCTGGATGGGGGTGTTAGAGGGTGAGCAGGATGGATGGAGGAGCATTAGGGGGACCAAAAGGAGTGCATATGACCTTACCAGTGGCGGCTCGTCGGGGGAGGCAGGGGAGGCACAGCTTCCCCATAATATTTAGGTGAAAATGGGAGGAGGACGATTTAATTTTAATAAAATTCACAATTCATTTCAGTTCATGTCTCAGAATGTGTATTTTTTGTTTGTAATTTCACAGTTGACTAAAAGCAACCAAAAAGCCATTTTAAAGTGGTTAAGCAAATAATGATAATAATAATCGACAGGGATCCCAGACCAATACAATTAGTGTGCCTCCTCTATTTTAAAACCCATGAGCCGCCACTGTTAGATACAGACAAATGCAGGAGAGATAAAAAGGAAGCCGAAGAGAGGAGGAACCAATGAAACCCATTCAAAAGGTTCAAAACATTAAATCATTTTCATTGCATTAAAAATACCAGTGGAAGTACAAGAATGATAAGATAAGACAGGGTAAAAAAAAATATAAAGGCATACACATTAAGAGGGGCGTGAGACAAAACGCAAGATTCAAAAATCTGCATGCCATGTGCAATACAGCATAAAGCTGGGTTTGATGGATAGTTGCTATGGTGCTAAAACTCCAAATTCACTGCCAAGCATCTACATATCAGGTTCACACGGTATGTGATGTAAAAGAGAGAAAATATGACTTGATTATAGATTCACCAGCTATAAATAAGATGTATAACATAATAAACATAAATATGGAGAGGTTTTCGACATAAGAAAAGGTCACAGAACAAATCAGCCGATGTATTGTGTTAATGTATTACGAGTATTGAGTATGTATTGAGTTATAATGATTTCACAAACAACTGTCTGAGACTGCTCGATCTGTTATGTACCTGCTCGAAATGTTAATGTTATACAAATAAAAAGTTAGTATAAGAAATTAATCACGTTATTATCTTATTAAGCAAATACACATTAAATCAATCAAAAGTCATTAATCTAAAAAGAAAAAGATGTATCACAGTTTCCACAAAAATATTAAGCAGCACTGTTTTCAACATTGATAATGTTAAGAAATGTTCTTTGAGCAGCAAATCAGCATATTGTCGGAATAAATCATAGGAATAAATTAACTTTTAAAATATATTTCAGTAGAAAACATTTATTTAAAATTCTAATAATAATTCACATTATTACTGTTTTTACTGTATTTTTGATCAAATAAATGTAACCTCTGAGCATAAGAGATATCTTTATTATAACTATTTATCGGTTATTATGACAGTTTTGAGATACTGAGTAGGACCTTAAAAGGGACCAACTCTACAGCATACACATAATTTAAGAAAAAGTATTTAACCAATAATATTTTTTTTAGAAGTACTGACAGGCACTCAATCCAGGGCTATTTTCATTCATGAATGTAAGCGAGAGATCAGACACTGAGCAATGAAGTCAGTGACCTGTGAATGAACACACATTTAGCTCTCCCCAAACACTCCTTACCCCTCATTTCCCATTTTCCAAATCTGATCTTGATTTTTTTCCGAAGGTTCCCACTGAAGTTTGCCTACAAAGGGGCCCTACATGTTTATCTACCAGCACAGAGGGGCACTATGAGCTCAGAGCCCAAACACCAATGAGAGCAGTTTACACATTGAGTGGCCTCTCAGGATTACCTCATGAACATTTAAGACTATCCTACTCGTAAAACATACAAAATCTATATCCAGCTACAATGACCTACATTCAGTCACATATATAAAAGCAATCTTTAACTGTGGGAAAGATGGTTAGACAAAAAAAATAAATAAATAAATAATTATATAAAAAATAAAAACGACATTTTTATACGATATGATATGATATGATATATATTATATTATAGCATAGCATAGCATAGCATAGAATGGTGCCTAAATAACTACATGGCTACATTTGTTTTAGATAATGTTTTAGATAATGTGTGCTGTTGAATTGTGCATAATAAGACCAGGATTGTATACTGAGAAACTAAATACTGTAGGGCAATTTGGACTTCATGTTGATCTTAGGCTATATAGACATAGCCTATGGTAAGAAATCCAAAGGATATCCTTATGGATATGGAGCAAGAACAAAATCAAAGCAACCTGTAATGGGTCCAAAGAAGCATTTATGCAACATATGGCAAACACAAATTCCTCAATATAAAATAACTATCTGTTGGCAAGAGCAAGCGATGTATAGGGAGCAGGCTGTTAAGTGATTAATATCCCCCTCTCAAAAATGTGCAATAAATGTGTGGTGCATGTTTCATCCAGGGATCAGGTTACTGAATATTAATGTCAAGAGGAACCACAACAGAGTGGTGTTACTGATTAAAAATGGGCTGATACAGTGGGCATGTCCTTTTGCTTTTGTAAGTATGCTCAGAGAATCTTAAAAAAAAATGCAATTATTTGAAACACATGAGAATGCTGTTTGCATGTAAAGCATGTGCATATATGCTTAAAGGAATAGTTCAGCCAGGACTCGAACTCGGGACACCTGAAGCACAACGATGCTATATGTCGGCACACTACCCCACGAGGCCTTCGGCACTGACATGTCGGTGGATTTTGATGTGAGTTGACATCAGGGCATGGGCTTTTTTCACTGGAAGAAACGTTATTACGGATTATGGACTGGTATTTAAATTTAAAATGCTTTATTGATAGACTTGTTTTTTTACAAACACAGCTTTTTGCTTCACAAGACATTAATTTATGGACTGGAGTTGTGTGGATTACTTGTGGACTATTGTGATGTTTTTCTCAGCTGTTTGAACTCTCATTCTGACGGCGCCCATTCACTGCTGAGGATCCATTGGTGAACAAGTGATGTAATGTTACAATTCGCCAAATCTGTTCTGATGAAGAAACAAACTCAGCTATGTCATGGATGGCCTGAGGTTGAGTAAACTTTCAGCAAAATGTAATTTTTAGATGAACTATTCCTTTAAGAATGAATCTACATCAGTCTCTATTGCCAAATACAACCATAATACAACTAATGTAAAGGCCATCTTTAGCAATAAAAATGAATAACAGTTACAACTAACCAACAATTATTATAAAGAGGTATTAGACCAATTTTGTTTTAAATGCAATGTTACAAAGGGCCAACAGGCTTCCCACCAATGCCCATGCTTCCAATCAGCAATACAAACATGAAAACCCAACCTGACTACAACTGGTCACAAAAGGTCACATCAACCAAACCGCTCAGAACAATCTATTTCCCTTTTACTATACCCCAGGCAATCTTACAAGAACGAGGGAAATTCCTTTTTTATGCCTGTTTTAATAGCCTGGGTATAAATAGAGGGTAATTTAGTCATATCAGAGAAGGGAAAGTAGATTTTGAGTAGTAGCTCTCTTAACACACTCTGACAAAATTAATGAGATGTGTAGGTCTGGAGGACGTCTTGACCCAGGGCAGGGTTATTGACATTGCAGAGTCCAAAATGTTCCCCATGTTTGCATTAACAGATATTTTTACTGTAATCAAAAGGCATCAATCAAGAATCACCAACCACAGGAACAGTTCCTCCACAGAGATTTGGCATGTTTACCCCACTACCACTTCCCCCTGCTTTTGTTTATGTTTCCAAGACACAGGGATGTAATATCATTTAATATAAGCAGTTAAATACGACCAGCCCTATATTGCCAAAGGGACTGTTTGGCATTGAGAGTTTGAGATCTCATCAATGAACTCAATGAAGTCTCTCTGTGGCTGTGCTGGACTGGACAAAATGAGGTTTCTGTGGGTTCCGAATGGCTGTGCCTGCTGCTGACCGCTGGCTGACCAAGTGCTCTTTGAACAGCAGTAAATCAATGGGCAGCATTCACAAGGAAAGCAACCAGTGACTTCTGGACAAGGAAGTTGAATTTGAAAACCTGAAGTTGTTTGAAGGGTCATCATAAGAAGAAACCGCAAACTAGATCTGACGCCCAAGTCAGTGACGCCATCGTCTTACGGAAAACAAGTGGAAGACTACCAATTCTACAATCAGTTCGTTTTTTCAAAAATGAACCTAATAATACTGAATAATAAAATATCAATGTTTTCAAATGGTTTAAATAGTGAATAATACAAATATTAATGTTTTCAAATGGTTTACATTTCATTTCAAAGTTATCAAATGTAAATGTAGTTAAATAAAAAATTATTAAAATATTATAAAATATTATTTTTATATTTTAATATTATTTATATACTATTACAGTGTTTATTAATATGTTGAATTAGCGTTTATTTTTATATTTTCAGTCTTCATTTTAATCTGAGTTTTAATTTAGTCATTTTTATTAGTTTTTGAATCACTATTTAAATGTAATTTATTTTTATTAGTTTTAATTATTTATTTATTTACAGTTAATAATTTTAGTTCTTCATCTTATTCCAGTTAGCTGCCATTGCAAGATTTCTATTTTTTGATCAGTGTAAGTTACTTTATCTAATATTTATATTCTATATTATTTTAGCTTTATTTCAACAACAACAAAAAAAGAATAGTAATGAAAACCCTAATTCAAACGGAATATTACTTAATTAATTTCTGTGTCACTAGCGTCCACAAACAGAACAGCAAAAATAATAGTTTCTTGAACACACCCCCTGTCTGCCATTGGGCAACCAAACAGATAGTCCCGCCCACAAGCCATGCCATTGGTTGAGCCAACATTGCCGTTTCAGCCTGCAAAAACCTAAATGTAAGCATCTAAATAATTACTAAAAGAAACTATCCAAACTCTAAACTATCAGTTAAACCGTTTATTTAAAGTAACCTTTAAAAAAAATCTGCACATGCCTGCATGACAAAAAACAAAAGCTTTCTAGGATATCTTTAGCAGGTTTTAGTTGATTACAGTCTGATATACTAAATCCTCAGCAATGAGAAGCAACACAAGCAGCTATTTCCTCGAACAGGGGCATCTGCTAACCAAATGGCAGAACATGATGAGGGATGGATCATTGAGATGAACAAGACAATGTGCCGTGGAAAGAAAAGCCCAGCATATTCGATACCGCCCTGCTTAAGACAGCCATTGATGGTAATCAAGAATGTCACTCAAATAGCGAGATTGGGGAAATGAAATATAACTTTTAATTGCGTCCCCTCTTTCATCTGTGCTGGCTTGGCAAACGCCTGCCACTTGTTGTCATCTCTTGGCACATTTGAATCCGCTGCTGAGTTTTGACTTTTAATCATCCAGCTCGTGATTGCACAACATGATATGAACAGCAGTGGATGTCATTGTCTGTTGTGTGAGCCAGAGATCAGCTGTCTGTCACTGAATACTTTAAGACTGTGATTCCGGTAAAAGTATTCCATGTGTTCACAATAAAAAAGCAATTGTTTGATACTTCAGTTTGTAAAAATAATCTATACTGGATGAGCTACAAGATCATTTAAGATTGCTGAAAATTTCAGATGTTCTTCAGGAAGTTTTGTTCAGCCAGATCTACTGATTTGATTATGGTCATTCCTGGTGATCAGGTGGCAAATATACCACAATATGACATACTGAGAAATGCAAGCTTGTTTGTCCAGACAGTAGACCTGAAGTGACCAGCGTTCACCTAGACTGTCCAATCCATCAAGTGAGCCAGTAGAAATACTGTTTATGGAGATCCTAGCCATCTGCATGTGGTTTGTCTTATTACAGGTGAGGGCTTGGTAAGGTCTTTTCCACGTAGCACGCTCAATAAAAATGTCCATGCTGCTTTATGGATGAACATGCTGGACTTTCATATATGGAGGGAGACACGGCTTGGCTTGTCCGTCAGTCCCGAATGCATTCCACTTTACTGTGTGCTCTGTGAAAGGATTCCAGGAGGAGCATCCCGCACTCTGACAGACACTCAAACCAGCGTATCAGTCAGGACAGAGTACGGCTGTGCCTGGAACTGTCAGTCGGTGACTTCACGGTCAGCGTTTGTGTATGAAGGTACAATACCTCCTAAATAAATTGGTTTCAGAGAGTCTTTCAAGTCTCTCACCATAATGTGTTGTTTAATGATTTAAAACAAATTCAAGTGAGCTTTAGCGATAACTCAGGTTGGGTAAATATAAATCAGAACACATAAATAAAAAAATATATATACATCATATATATGGATACAAGGACCTAAAACATAATGCAATATTGTGAGAAAAAGAAGTGCTAACCAAATGCAAAATTGAAAAAATAATAATAAATAAATAAATAATAAAAAATACAATCAATGAATATATTATATGAATATGATTAATTATTAATAATAGCATTTATTAACAATAGTCCAATAATAATAAATATTCTTAATAATTAAAAACAATTATTATTATTATTATTATTAATAATAATAATAATAATAATAATAATAATAATATCTTGAATGGTAAATAAAGGGGAAAACCATCTAAAAAAGTACAAAATTATAAACAATTATTCCTCTGAATAACCAGTCACTTAATTATCTGCTGCCATCTACTGACTCATTTATAACAGTGGTAATGACATCACGCTGTGTCAGAGGATAGCAAACAGACAGTAGTTTATGCAGATGACCTATGCTGTCACATTATGACCGTACTCTCTCTATGACATTTATGTAAATACAAAAAACTATAGACTTTAAGAAGTGCTTAAATGTTAGCTCATGAGAAGAAAAACAATTTTGACCATCTACAGACAGATATTTGTAATATAGTCCACATCTGAAAAGGCTGGCACTCTAAATTAACTTTTAAAATGACAAGCTACTTTGATGTCCATGAACAACAGAATTGGGACAACTACATTTACATGATTGTCCTTTTTTTTGTCTCAATATTGGTCCCGCATGATCACTTTTACACCCTTAGAAGGACTGTACTGTACGCTTGATTTTATGCACCTGTTAGTAATGGTATAGCTGAAGTAGTCAAATCTGGATAGTTAGAACGCAGGTGTCCACATGTACTTTTGGATGCGTAGTGTATGTAAACAGGGAAAATGTCCCACCTTCAATCATATCATAGGTTTCTGGAGGCATAGAGTGTCCAGCATGGCTCACAGCCCACACTGGATATCTTCGGATGAACGTCTGATACAGTGTCCACACGTATGTCTTGTAGAAGCCCACCACACCTGGGTTGCCTGTGGAAAGGTGGAAACTTAATTTAGCTTAATTTTTATATTTTCACTTCAACATAAGGATTGTGAGACATGGTATTCATTGTTTAGACAAGAACAGACGTCTGGTTCCAGGTCTGCTGACGTAGCTCTGCTGGTCTTCATAGATGAGGTTAACTACGAGTGAGGGGAGATAAGGAGATAAATGGCATCTCTGATACCCAGCTGCCTTCAGTGCAGAACAATGGGCACTCTGTGTGGTCACAAGGAATTCACTCACTCGCTCCAAAGAGCATCGATGGGCCACAGCCTCACAGGCTGATTCCGTTACCATAATTGTTGTGTGTGTCCGTGAGGTGAGAGTACACGTAAACGCATCACACCAATGTTTCAATAATAATGTTTGAAGTGTTAAAGAATCACTAATTTTGGGACTATTGTGAGTTATGTAAATGTAACTCCAGGGTACTACAATCCAGGCTAGATAGTAAACCAAATTTTTCTTTTCCAATTCATATTATTACGCAAAACACAATATACTCTATAATATAAAATACTCTACCAAAGTGAGTAAAGTAAAGCTCTAAATGGTCCCAAATACTATACAATGTAAAATAAAAAACTAAATATAATACATCCTATTAACCCTGTGAGGCATATTAAATAATAGTCAGAAAACTTTTTCCCCCCAATGGAACAGTTTATCAAACCTTTAAGCAAAAAAAAAAAAAAAAAAAAAAAAAAGCTTTT